TCAAGTAAGACAAACCGAAGTCGTTAAACTCCACAAAAATCGATTCTTATTTACTTTGGCTCTATCAAGTATTAGATTTAAGAGCAGCGAAGTAGAATGAAAGTGATACCGGATACTGCATCATCAGACCGGTGAAAGAATACATGTTTGTAAATGATCAATTTAGGATAGCACAATCTGAGTAATGTCGCATATTTACAAACACGGAGAAAAAGCCAAGAGTTCCATCCACTCTGAAAAGAAAAAGATATTTCTGCTTTGTTTTAGAGGGACATTCTAGAGCATCAAATCGTTTGTTCTGTAAAAATCTTGACGGTTTAAATACTCTAATGCTTTGTTTTCATTTACGAAAAAATAACTTTCATTTTACCACAGGATTTCCCTAAAACAGCAAACATCCTAAGCTTAATGGCAGGTTTGTATATGCCTCAAAAATACAGAGTGGAATACTAGAAACACTGAGTATTACAAAACATCTATTTTTGAAAAATTATTTCATCCTCCCACAAGTCAAGGAAAAATCACAAGGTACAGAAACTGTTTTACTTTCTTTAGGGAAAATTTAAAACAAATTTGTTTCATGTGTCTTTGATTAAATTAGGTTCACTAAAAGACCCGATATTCTTTAGAGTTGTGTCGTATGGACCAAGAAAACAATGAAGGAACGAAACTTCTTTCATCTGAAGAATTTGAATATAAAATATCGTAGCTTGCAGGTCGCAATTCAGTTTCTGAATAAAAATTTGCCGGTTGTGCGGTTTCGGTTTGCATTTTCTATATGATGGCTGGAATTACCTAGTGAATGTATATACGAAAAAGGATGCAAATATTTTATCAAGGAGTGATTTTAAAATTCATCAAACAACCTTATATCTTAAGTCCACCACGTAAGTCACTTTCTGGGAAGTTATAAAGTTTTATTTTCTATCTCTATAGTAATTATAAAATTTTGATCATTTGGTCACGGGAATTAAAGGTTTGACTTTTTTTATTTTTTTTTTTTTTGGGGGGGGGGCTTTATGTCGGTGTGTGAGCGTGTAATACAACTACTATACCTTTGTCCAATTACAGAGGCATCGATTCTCTCTCTGAAAAATAAAGCTCAGAGTAGAATTACTCAATCAATAACTAAGAAAAATTACTCTTCCGTGTATAAACAAAATCATGATGATGTAAATCGTATTTACTCAACGCCTTTTGAGTGTTCAAGAAAGGAATAAATCAATTAGTTTCCTATCCGGTTTCGAACCGTTGAAGCATGAAGGACGTCAGTACGTATTGTTCTTCACCCAGATAAAAAAAGGGCTACATCGTGATTTGTGCATCTCAAAACATAAGTCAAGGGCGCTTTTTATCGTTGCAATATATAATCCTTGCTAATTTGTTCCCATCCCTAGCAAATCCCACACCATTTTCATTTATTTTGGTGATGAACTATCTTACCAAAAAAATAAAAATGATATCTCCTACGCTGAGTATAATTTTCCCATCGGTGATAACGAACCGAAAACACGGAGAATCAATTATATGTAACCCAGAAATCGAAGGAAAAGAGCCAGCTAAGTGGCAACGTGATGTATCATGTTTTTTGATCAAAAAGGATGAAAAAGCGTGTCACATTTCGAAGCGAGAATGTTATATAATAATCATTAACAGTGAAAGGAAAGAAAAGACACCTCCCCCTGAAAAAAATATAATTAATTCGAGAGCAGACCAGCGAAGGGAGCCGGGATTTATTCTAAACTGATTCCTTCCAGTACCTTCGTCCTTCAAATTCAAAGTGTACCTAAATTATCAAGATAAAGCAGTTCAATTTTATATTATTTTTCAGCTTTAACCTTACCTTTTCCGGTTTCATTACTGTCCCTTTCCTTATTTGGTTTTTGAACATAATTTTCCGCTGCGGGCCGTAGTTAATTGGCAGTAAATTGGTGTTTTTATTACATTGCAATATATCGCGTGATTTAACACGTGTCCCGTGCCTAAAAATACATTTCCCGCTCTCAGAGGTAACCCTGCATGACGTCAGTTACAATTATCTAATCCAGTGTTTTCGTAGTTGCGAAAGTTATCCTCGGGATTAGCTGCGGTAGTATTTAAAGACATTTCAGAAAAAGGGGCTCGTAAGCATTCAGGCGTCGCCAAGATTTGAACCTGCGTCTAAGCGTTATTAGGGACCTTTAGCAGTTAAGACAGCATCGATTTAAAAATGAATATATATATATATATATATTTATAGTTGGAATTTTACGAACGACTGGATGTGTTCACCATCTCTTACGGCGCCGCGAGTTAACCTCAGGATAACGTTTAAGAGCGGAGTTGAGTTTCAAATAGAAACCTAAATAATTTACCGTCAGAGTTTCCTTTCTTGGACCACGCAAATTTGATGATTTCACGTTGATATTTTGCAGAGGACGGCTACGAAATCTACACAGTTTTGAAACGCACGTGCTGAGCTCTTGCTCTGCTCATTAGATCTTTTTGTTTTGCCACATCCTCTTGCCGTCGCCGGTCGCCGTCGTGCTTTTCTAAAGTTCCCTATCACCAACTAAGCGACGAAGTCATATGTTCGAGTGAAGCAAATTTGAGAGGCATCTTCGTTCCCGTATGCAAATATGATTACCATTATTTAAAAAAACATACCATGGACGCTCACCAGAGGTCAGACTGGCTTTTTGTTACAAGAATTATGCCGTTAATCCGCTCCGCCAAGCCAAGTCAGTCATTACCCAAGCTTGGCACGCTATTTCGACAAGTTTCGGGGAGACCTTTGACAAAAGTTAGGCTGACCGCCCACCCTAATCCGGATAAATTTTTCACTGAAAACGAACCTTTCGAAAACGTTGACATCTTATTTTGAATTCCCTTTTGAGCGAGATGATGGAACCCTTCCTCTGCGCATGCTTAGAAATCCAGTCGGGCGTCGCTGCCTGCGGCAATTATTGTGTTTTGACTGTGAAGAAAAGTCATTTATCCGTTTCCAGCATGGACGCAAAAAATTGTCAACGGACAATTTTATATTTGCTTAATTTTATACGGCCTTGATAAAAGACAAATTCTATTATTACGGGAGGAAAAACGGGATTCGTTCGGATGCAGTTTTATTCTTCGAAACGTTTCCGAACCAAGTGAGTCTAAGTGAAATCAAATGTTGTTTATGATTTTTTATTTACTAGTGCATTGAAAGCACGGTATAGCTTAGAACTATCAAAGGGCTGTCACGCAGATATTTAGTCGCGTTTTGAGCGATGATATGCTAAGTTCTTCCCCACGCCTAAAGCAAATCACTCGAAATATTAGCCGTAGTGATACTTTTTATTTTCGAGACAAGGCAATACTCTAGGATAAAGAGTTACCCTTTTACGCTTAATTCCAGGTTAGCGGTAGCCTTGTCACAAACAACGGCACACTTCAATGAATTAGAAAGTAAACAAGCTCCGATTAAACAAGATTAACAAGGGTCATTAAACCCCGAACTTGAGAATGATGTAATGCATATTTCATTTTTAGTTCGATGAGTGTCTCGCTGTTGAAAGCCTAAATGTTATAACTGTCCTAAATTTAATAAAATTTGGTCCTAAATGTAAGAAGTCTTCAGTGCAATCGTTTAATTCCGCCCGTGCGTTTTTGTTATAGCGGACATTCACATTTAGATGTTTAAGTGACAGCCGTTGCACCAAAGAATCCTTTGACCAATATTCATGGCATATTGTGGGCTCGCTGATATTAATAAGTATAAGTATAATTTATTTACCGTCAGGTACACGGGGAGTGGTCGCCCAATCTCCCGAGCCGGAGGCTCATGATAAAAGTGACTGACTATAAAATACATTTACAAAGTCTGAGATTCTTAAATCTAAATTATTAGTTATCACGTTAAACTATTTACAAATGTATAATTAAGCAGAAGCTACGTATACGCAGAAGTGTCAAAAGATTATAGACAGCTTTTGCATTGACAGCCGGTAAAAATAAGAGTTTTCAGTTTTCTTCTAAAAGACGATAAGTTAGGGGCGATTTTAACAGAAGGTGGTAGTTTGTTCCAGATGCGAGAGATGACAAATGAGTACGAATTGTGACGGAATTTGCTGTTGTAGGAATTTTGAGTTACGTTGAGGCCAGTATTTCTCAGGTTGTAGGGAGTAATTCGGGGTTCGAAGAGGTCGGCTAGGTAGCTTGGGCCGTTCTCTTTGTAGCATTTATAAAATATTATTAGCGACTGTTCTATGCGTCTGTGTTCCAGTGTGTTCATATCTGCTGTTCTAAGAGTTGATTCGTAGTTAATGCTTCTCCCCAAGTTCATTATTGTTCGGAGACCGTAGTGGTTTGCATCTTCTAACTTCTTATTAAGAGTTTTGCCGATGCCGATTAGTAGGGAATTACAATACTCAAAATGCGATAAAACAAAATTCCTATATAGAACTAGCAGTGTACTGGAAGGCACTAGGCGTTTAAGGCGGCGGAGTGCGGCTATCTTAGCAAATACTTTCTTTAACATCTCATTTATGTGTTCTTGAAAAGATAACTTATTGTCAAGGTGAACTCCGAGGATCTTTAGGTGCTCTTTAATGTCGATAGAAGCGCCGTTAAACTTTAAGTTATAGTGGTGGGTACTTTTGCCAAGGACCATTGCTTGTGTCTTGTCTCCGTTGGCCTGAAGATAGTTGTGGTCAAGCCAATCAGCGTCTTTTTACTTGCAAGAGACGTAGGTCGAGAAACATTTCCTACGAACTCTTATACTGATGTGCTTTTGGCATTAAATTGACAAACGTCAAAACAACGGGAACGCGGCTTAATACCTCTCTTTATATCACTGGCTTAGACTCTTAAATACAACAGATTTCAAGTGACAATATACTTGAGTGATAAATGAACCCAATAACAAGGAAAAGGAAGTCCACTGACCTATACGTCAGAGAAAGTCAGTGAGTCAGTTCTGAGTTGAACTGCTCACTTGGAATGGCTACTGGGTAAAAATATCGCTCTCGAACGTGGCCTTCTAGGCCCTCCACATAGTTCGAAAGCACAGGTATCCTAAGGAGAATATTCTCTTGTGATTCTGGATTTTTTTTCATCAGGAATATCCATAAAACGATTTGACAGAGGGCACTGTAGAGATGGTAATATATCTGCATGAAATTTCACATCTGAGATGGGCACCAACATGGCGGACGCTTTACTTGCAAAAAAAGTATGACGTCAGCCGCAAACCGAGAATTGTACTTAAGAGTTTGAGCCTGTGATATATGGAGAGGTATTGGTCAGCCTACTCATTGTTTTGCCAGCTATCATTTGCTGCTAATTGTTCATCAGTGTAACGGTTTGCAGCCAATGCTTCTTTACTTAAGTCCAACAAATAAGAAGACGCTGATTGATATCAGCAAACCCGCAATGTGACATGAATACTGGTCAGAGGATTTTTGTCACTTTAACATCTCAATGTGGATGTGCGCTATCAGGAGTTAAACGATTGCATTGGAGGCTTATTACATTTAGGACTTTATTACATCTAACCAAATCATATTACATTTAGGTCTTTATGACATTTAGGACGGTTATTACATTTAGGCCTTCAACATCCCACTACTTTAAAAAGATCCGCTACAATAATTTTCACACGTGAACATGGCTTAGTGAAGGCACCATTACATTAAACATTATCGTTTATTTTTACCCATGCGCGACAATCTTTCCAGTTCTTTTTCTTGTCTAGGAACACTTTTCCAGACCTATTACTTTTAATTACCGCTCGAGGTGTGGATAAAGACATCAGTGCGGAATATTCCATGCTGACAGCCGAGTTTCGGTCACTGTCAAAGTATGTCATGGCGATATTTCTCTTTTGGAACTTCAATTTGTTGTCTGTCACAGTCGATGCACTCTGCAAATATGAAGTGCAAGGTTTGAGAACATGCTCCTCAAAATGCAATTTTGCAATTTTTGTTTTTATTAAGGGGCTCCCTCTGGGTCTAAAGTGATGTAGTTGTGAAGATCATAATAGATCGTAATAGAAAACTAAGAATCAACAGCCAAGCCATCGGGGCGTGACAACTTATATCTAAGTAGGATTCACAGATCGTCATTAGTGGATGAATGCAAGATTTGAGAAAAAAAATTAAGATACAGCATTGCTCCAGCGTATTCTATGTGAGAAAGAATTTTGCCATACTTAGATCTATTGAAGATGTTGCTGGGAAGCCCTTTTCTTGTTGGAAAAATGAAAAGAAGCGAATTGTACAAAGAGTCTGTTACATCTTCAGGCCAGAATTTTCACAAAGATGATTTCACTCGGGCATCTGGCTGGCATTTACAATTACATTTCATGACTAAGGTCACACTTGGACCAAGGCCTTTTCCACGCATCGTTCTCAGTGACAACAGGGACTTACCTTCACCACTAACTTTTCATCCTCCACAGCTATGATAAAGTCTGGCTTTTTGTAGGGCTTGAAGGAATACACTAGGTTTTGACCTGAACATTCTCTCCTCAAGACAAACTCTGTGAACAAAAAACAAGTAGTATTCTTGAAAACTTTTTTCCTGTCGGCCACTGCATTGCTGATAACTCAGCTTTGAATTGATTCTATTATCTATTTTAGTAGTATCTTGGTATCTTAATCCTTTAACTCCCATGCCTGACCAAGACAGAATTTCTCCTTATAATATCAATACAAAATCAAGCCGACAAGTGATGAGAATATAGAAAAATATCAATTAGGGAACTAATAGTTGATCCAGTACCAAATTCTCCAAACTAGCATCATGACAGATATAAGGCGGACAGTAAGGAGAATTATAAAAGTGATCTTGGGAGTGAAAGGGTTAAGCTGTATTACAACTTCATGCTCCGGAAAAGAATCTAAGAGCATGTATTTCTTGTAAAGAAGTTTTTCCCATGTAATCGCCCAGATTTTTGGTTTATTCTCATCGCTGTAAAATCTTATTTCCGTTTCCACATATGCATTCTGGCAACCCATGACACCCTCTTTCGATAAAACGAACTGTAACCTGCCTATCTACATTAGAAATCGCTGGACTGATGCACAGTTGAGACGTCTGAGAGTTTACCTGCACAAAGCCTGCGTAGCTGACTGCGGAAGTTGCATGTGGTCTTTTAAAGACACGTCAAGATATTTTAATCGGATTTTCTGTGACTAGTAAAAATTTCCCTTTACGTGGGGGGATTTAGAAAACTTAAGTTTGTTTAAGTAGTCGAACATTAAAAGGCAAAGAGAAAGAAAGAAAGAACAAGGCCGATACAATATGACATTTAAAGACGGGGATTTTAATTTTGGATGAAATTTTTAAGATTCTCAAACCATGACATAACTCCTTTGTGCATGATCAATATACTGTAAATATCAGTCATCTCACTTGTCCCTGTTGCTCCTCTACTCCCCGTGAAGGACAGACTGAATTCACCGCTGAGGTTTTCAGTGATTAACAAGAATCTTTTGGCTTTATGTTGACGTGCCATCGACTCCATGTTGACTGTAAATTCTGTGAAGTCGGTTGGGCGACACCTGGGCATCGGAGAACACCAAATGCCCGGCAAGAAAAAAATCAGCTGTCAAAGGCAAAAGAAAAAGAAAAAAAATGAGCTTAAAAGTTCTGCTTTAATCGTGGAAAAAATCAGCGCATTTACTGTTACCTACTCATACATAAAACATTTACATCTGCGATATCGCTGTTTTCTTCTTAAGCTAAGCTCAGCAAGTGCAAATCAACCCAAGGTTACTGAAACTGCACTTTCATTTTCACGCATTTGCTACCACAGCACATTCTACAATTTTCAAAATCCCCGAGCACCCATTCTGCTCTGATAGCTTTTTTTGGTTTAGTCAGAGCCAAACGACAAGTCATCACTGCAATGAGGAACAAATATCCGTTAAGTGAATTTCTTAAATTGAATATTTCCTTTCATGGGTGAATTTGTAGATAATCGACATCTCTATATATTTGTGATTCATTCACGGATGAAGATAAAGCAATTATTTGAAAGATCTGCAGCCCAAATTTCAAAATTACTTTAATAGTAGTAATTTCTCAATTTTTGAATGCTCTACGATTTACCGAAAATATTGCTTTCCATGTAAGCTGTTCAGTAGAGATTGAAAGAGCCCTTATTTTGCAAAAAAAAACTGAGATCTAATTAAAGCTGTACTTCTAAGTTATAAGTGTCAAAAATTCAACGGGTACTTTTATTTCATCAATAATTCTTGAGATAAATTGTTTGGCCCCTCGAACAGAGTTGGCATTTAAAGTGAACGCGAGAGGATTTTAAATCGTCATTATGCTCAAGTAGTATTTAAATTCTAGTTCTATCCGTTTGATAATTCAAGCTAAAGATGAGAAAAGTACTTGGACTGACTACATCTTGAATTGAATTTGCAGAATACAGAAACAAATAGAAGCTAATTGCACTAACTTACCTTGATAAAGTAACAAAATTTAGCCTCCTCCATTATAGCTCGTCGTAAAATGCTTTAACTAAAGTGAAAATAGCTCAGCACTGGACTAATTGTCGTTGATTTTGAAAGTGAAAACAAAGGGAAAAAACCCACGAATTTAACAAAAGAATATTGTTAACAGACAGAAAACGAAACAAAATTTAGCCTCCACCATTGTAGTTTGACGTCAATTGCGCTGAAAGTGATACCTCGGCAATTCTTAGCTAAACTAGATAACGCGAGTTCTTATACCTGAAACTGAAAAGAAAAGAGCTGGATAAGAAAAACCTACGAAACGATAACAAAAGAATATTGATGACAGAGCAGACCGAATATATCTCAATGAACGTTTGGTGCGTACCGCTAAGGATTTTAACGAGTTGTGTCTTTTTTAACGATCGAGCTTGTAGACTTCTTCGTGCAGTTGGATAATAAAAATTACTCCTCGATTTTAACGAGGGGGTATCCAGTGGTGATGATGTGCGTTTGAAATTATATGAGAAGACGAAGTGAAACGAAACTAGGTAAGAATCCCAAATTTAACAGGGGATGTCTGCTGCTTATGATCACAGAAAGTTCTCTTTACAGTAAGTGGTCATTGCTCTGCGCAAGAAAACAGCGACTATTAAGTGACCACACTGATGTTAGTCCTAATTGTTGCTGCAATAAATTCGCCTTTAGAATTCCTTATTGCGTAAAATGGTAAGCGATTTTTTCTGACTCCCAAACGAATTTGACCGCAAAAGTATGAAGAAGAAAACTTGAGGTTGAATATTTTCTGATAGCAGTGTTCGATAGCAGACATGTTTTATCAAAACAAGACACAAACAAATTTATCACCACCTTATGAATAATAACTACGAAACTTGATCTAGGTTTTGAAAATAATTAAAAAAATAGAATTCTAAGGTATCTCATACAATTGGTGAAGGCAACTGAACTATAGACAATCCTACTCAATCGAGAGCAATCTAACACTATCCATGAATTCGAGTAAATTCAGAAATACAGCAAAATGAAACGGCTCCTTTTCTTTGGTTTTGATTACCAAACCATCGAACCATAAACAATGAAGCTCAATCGAACCGATAAAATATTTTCTAAGGCTACCTGAATACTTTCTGTAGTTGGGGGAACAAAACCGAACAACTCATCTTTTAGGAATGGAATTACCGAAGTGTTTTAAACATAATAACAATGAGTGAATAATTTCCCTCAACAATCAGATGAAACCAAATCATCTTCTATTACCCCGACCGACGCAGCTCCACAGTTTTATCAGAAACTTACCCCCCTTTATTTAGTTATTTTATTGCCTCATTCATTTGGAGATAATGATTCAAGATATTTTGACAACCCACGTACATTAAATATTATGTTTTTATAAGCTTGACCGACGATTTGGTTCTTTGCCAATTTGAATAATAAATCAATTACAGAGCGGCTTGCTCTTACAAAGCTGCCTTTTCTTTTAAGGTACGTCCCATTCTTTCCTAATTTTTCGCATCTTTTGTAGAGAACAAATCACGCTACTTTGTAGGAGCAGC